TAATATAATATGCCATTTAGCAGACGCTTTTATCCAAAGCAGTCATGTGTGCATACATTTTTATGTATGGGTGGTCCCGGGGATCGAACCCACTACCCTGGCGTTACAAGCGCCATGCTCTACCAATTGAGCTACAGAGACACAGGTCAAGTCCTTCCTTGGACTGGCAGGATACTATAGCCGGTTTATACCCAACTTTGCGGCTATAGCTTCCCCCTTCACCGATCTAACCAGGGCCCGCCTCCCGAAAACAGTGAAATGGACGGACGAGACAGAAGCTGCGTTCAGCCATCTGAAGGAAGCACTGTGCTCCCATCTGATTCTCATAATGCCCGATTTCCAGGTGCCGATGGTGGTCCAGACGGATGCATGTGATACGGGACTCGGGGCCGTTCTGTCCCAGATGGGGAGGAGCACCCCATCATGGCGGTGGCGCCATCTGCTGGACGTACCAGGTCTCGACGGGCTCCCCGGACAGGACTAATTGGGCCTGATTGGGAGCTGGTGAGTAATTAAGGGCGGATTGCTCACCAGCAGTGCAAGGCCCATAAAGCTGGCAGAAGGGCAGCACATGGGAGAGGACTGGGGGAAGTAAGGTAACTTCTGTGTAGTTGGAGACGGTATCCTGGAGAGGATCTCATGGGGGAGACCTAACCTTTTCTTTTGATTATTTTATTAATAAACACCATTGAAACCGAGCTAATCTTACTCTGTCCGTGTCTGATCTGTGTACACACATACATATACATACACATATATACATATACACACATACATACACATACATATACACATCCTTTAAAAAAATATACACTGCTCAAAAAAATAAAGGGAACACTTAAACAACACAATGTAACTCCAAGTCAATCACACTTCTGTGAAATCAAACTGTCCACTTAGGAAGCAACACTGATTGACAATAAATTTCACATGCTGTTGTGCAAATGGAATAGACAACAGGTGGAAATTATAGGCAATTAGCAAGACACCCCCAATAAAGGAGTGGTTCTGCAGGTGGTGCAGGTGGTGACCACAGACCACTTCTCAGTTCCTATGCTTCCTGGCTGATGTTTTGGTCACTTTTGAATGCTGGCGTGCTTTCACTCTAGTGGTAGCATGAGACGGAGTCTACAACCCACACAAGTGGCTCAGGTAGTGCAGCTCATCCAGGATGGCACATCAATGCGAGCTGTGGCAGGAAGGTTTGCTGTGTCTGTCAGCGTAGTGTCCAGAGCATGGAGGCGCTACCAGGAGACCGGCCAGTACATCAGGAGACGTGGAGGAGGCCGTAGGAGGGCAACAACCCAGCAGCAGGACCGCTACCTCCACCTTTGTGCAAGGAGCAGGAGGAGCACTGCCAGAGCCCTGCAAAATTACCTCCAGCAGGCCACAAATGTGCATGTGTCTGCTCAAACGGTCAGAAACAGACTCCATGAGGGTGGTATGAGGGCCCGACGTCCACAGGTGGGGGTTGTGCTTACAGCCCAACACCGTGCAGGACGTTTGGCATTTGCCAGAGAACACCAAGATTGGCAAATTCGCCACTGGCGCCCTGTGCTCTTCACAGATGAAAGCAGGTTCACACTGAGCACATGTGACAGACGTGACAGTCTGGAGACGCCGTGGAGAACGTTCTGCTGCCTGCAACATCCTCCAGCATGACCGGTTTGGCGGTGGGTCAGTCATGGTGTGGGGTGGCATTTCTTTGGGGGGCCGCACAGCCCTCAATGTGCTCGCCAGAGGTAGCCTGACTGCCATTAGGTACCGAGATGAGAGCCTCAGACCCCTTGTGAGACCATATGCTGGTGCGGTTGGCCCTGGGTTCCTCCTAATGCAAGACAATGCTAGACCTCATGTGGCTGGAGTGTGTCAGAAGTTCCTGCAAGAGGAAGGCATTGATGCTATGGACTGGCCCGCCCGTTCCCCAGACCTGAATCCAATTGAGCACATCTGGGACATCATGTCTCGCTCCATCCACCAACGCCACGTTGCACCAAAGACAGTCCAGGAGTTGGCAGATGCTTTAGTCCAGGTCTGGGAGGAGATCCCTCAGGAGACCATCCGCCACCTCATCAGGAGCATGCCCAGGCGTTGTAGGGAGGTCATACAGGCACGTGGAGGCCACACACACTACTGAGCCTAATTTTGACTTGTTTTAAGGACATTACATCAAAGTTGGATCAGCCTGTAGTGTGGTTTTCCACTTTAATTTTGAGTGTGACTCCAAATCCATTGATAATTTTTGTGTGATTTTGTTGTCAGCACATTCAACTATGTAAAGAAAAAAGTATTTAATAAGATTATTTCATTCATTCAGATCTAGGATGTGTTATTTTAGTGTTCCCTTTATTTTTCTGAGCAGTGTATTTCCCTTTATTATCTTCCAACCCCACCACCCCTTCCCTAACTGGAGAAAACTAGTGAACAACAATGCTTAGGCCTCTACTTCCATCTTATACATACTATATACATTTTATGGACACAGTCAATTTTACAATAATTCTATTTTGTTTGTTTTTACTCCTGAACTTCCTCTACCCTCAACCTCTCCGATCATTTTCATGATGTCCATCCGGTTTGCTTCTATATGCCATACCATCTCTTTCTAACTGTGCTCTTTCACAAAAGCTCTCAACCTATAACCTATATACTTATTATGGACACAGTATGCTTACATTATTAGTTATCTTGTTGTTATTGCTTGTTGTTAGATGTTATTAGTCCCATCCTTCAACTCCATTCAACACCACCCATCTATCTCTTAATACCATCCATATTGGATTTCTATTTGCCATATATTTTTCAACTGTACTATGATGTTTTACAAAAGTTCTGAACCTTTCTATTCTCATTGTTTCTACAGATTGCAAATAAACATTTTTGCTAAAAGTATTATTATATTATTGATCGATTGACTATGACTTTTCAGATCACCCAGTAATGCTATCTGCAGGGTTAGCTCCAGGTAAATATTGCAATCCTTTAGCCATTCCTGGACCTGTGTCCAAAAACAAGCTACATATGGACAGTACCAAAACATCTGCAGAGCTGGGAAGATTGTATCCCCCATATAAATAACATTCTATTGGTTGCAAGAATTGTATATAATAATTTAAATAAAAAAATTATAAGTTTAGAATCCGGCGTCGTTTTGCGTATTAGTTCATAAACACTATGCCATGGAATTGGTACGTCAAAAATCTCTTCCCAACTATTTTGCAATCTATATGGGACGGCTGTCAATCTTTTGGTCCTTAAATGAAACTGGTATACTTTTTAATTCATCACAGTTTTCTTTAACCAATTATGTTCTTTAATGCAGGGCCGACAGACAAGTTCCTTACTTTTTCCCACTTCCACTTTCCTCTTCCATTTTTGCGGTAATGCTGCAATTATTTGGTTGTAATTTTGGGTAGAGCAGACATTTCCATGTTTTTGTTAGCTGCGACATGACTCCACCAGTTTTTTTTATCAAATAGTATATTTGTGTTTAACCACAATGTTTGTTGCATTATTTGTTCTGTCGTTTCTGGAGGATTACGTTGAAATTGCAACCAACTTTCTATGGCTTGTTTTAGAAATAGTGATATTTGGGAGATGATTTCCTTTTCAAATAACTGAAAGTGAGAGGTTGTAATCTGAATAAAGGGAAAAAGGCCATTCTTGAACATTGGGTGAGACAATCTTACTAATTTGCTAGAGAACCATTTCGGATTTAAGTATAACTTTTGTATGACTGAAGCTTTTAGTGATAGGTCTAATGCTTTAATATTTAATAATTTCTGTCCTCCGAATTCATATTCATTATATTAATAGGCCCGTTTAATTTTGTCTGGCTTGCCGTTCCAAATAAAATTGAATTGAAACTTCACAAGGCGTAGGCAAGACCATAAGCAAATAGGTCAACTGGGATAATACTAAAGAGTTAATCTGGGTGATTGTCCCACAAATTGACAGGTATTTACCTTTCCATGGCTTTCTTGGCATAGTGTCCTTCTACAGGTTTTGATCAACTGTGTGTACTATGTGTGCATCCCAAATGGCACCCTTTCCCCTATATAGTGCACTACTTTTGACCAGATGGTGCACTACATGCACTATATAATGAATATGGTGCCATTTGGGACGAAGCCTATGTGTGTGTTTGATCATGAAAACAGACCTAGCAGCAAACGAGGAGGAAAACAAGACATCATCCTTGCTGCGTTTAGCAAGAGAGACCCCTTCTGTTCCCTGTGAGTTCTGCTACTCATAATTATTGTAGAACTATATTTAGCCTGCATACACTTTCAATGAATATTCAGTAACGTCTTCAATATTCATGGGAAGCAAACCACCATACTTCTAGCATTCTGTAAGTTACCCAATATGACATGAATGACCCTGATAACTTATTGTTCAAACCATATCTGTGCAAACAATATTTTATTGTCTCAATTACATTCACAAGACGGCTCATGATAAGATCATTTGGCTCATTTAAATATACAAAATATCAGGGGCGCAACTTTCACTCCCCACATTCTGAAATTGCATTTTTGTCCCCCCCAGTTTTATAATTGGAATGTGATACAAAACGAGGCAACTTTAGGACCATGCAACCTCCGAGCGGTCGGGTAGGCTGTTTGGAGTGTTTATCCGACTGGATAAAAAAATATATATAATTGATATATGTCCCCCCCCACTTCTAAAACCAAAGTTGCACTCACTGGTGCTCACATCACACTTCACAAACTTGTAAAACCACATGATTCACATCGAGCAAATGACATGTTTGTTCCCTCTTTCGAGATATCAATGACAGGGATAGTCTAAAGAAATAATAAAACCGAAATCTCCCTCATAGAATAGTTGTTCAAACAGGTGTATCAACATGGATCGGAGTGTTAATGGTTTACACATGGACCATTATGAACATAATCATCACCCTATCTAATACCAAATTCAGGTGCTGCGGGCCCTATATTCCACAATATTTCACCAGTCTCCCTCCTTTAGCTTCAGCTACTAAACCTGTCACTGGCTTCCTCCTTAAAGCTGTGACTAACCACAGTCCTTGACTGAGAGCCTATTTCAGCCCCAACCTCACCCCCTAACAACGCACTCATCCCAGACTCTGCCTCCCCTTGAAAGTCTGCCTGCTCCACTTTCACCTGCCCTCCCTGTGAAAAATAAACCTCCCCCTCCTCGAACCCATAGGCATAACCATCATCCATGTCAGCGGCCTCTGTGGTGTTACTACTGGCAGCGGCTCCATCATAGCTGGCGGCCAGTCTCTCACAGCGGGCCTGGTGGCGCAGGAAACTGTCCCTCCAGATGACCTTCTTCCCACACAGGCCACACTCATAGGGCCGCAGCCCGCCGTGGGTCTTCAGGTGCTTGGTCAGGTGGTGCTTCATCTTGAAGCTCTTGGCGCACACGGGGCAAGCGAAGGGCCGCAGGTTGAGGTGCTGCATCTTGACGTGGCGGTCGCGCATACTCTTCAGTGTGTAGGCCTTCCCACAGTGGCAGAAGTGCACTTTTCCTGTGTAAGGGGCCCCGGCAAGGGAGACGGACGAGGAGGAAGATGGGATGGGGGGTGAGGAGGAAGGGGGGAATGGAGCAGGGGATGGGGACAGGTGGCAGCTGGAGGTGGGGGTTGGGGTACCACCACCATGGGTCATGTTTGCCCCATTGGGCCAGTTCAACTCTGGGGCCCCCAGGACAAAGTCATTGTCATCAGGACAGGCAGGTACTAAGGGTCTCTGAGAAACCTGTCCGGTGCCATCCTCAATCTCATCATAGGTTTCCCTTCGAAAGGCACCATCCGCAAATCGGCCAAAGTCCACTTCCTCCTCGTCATCTTCTTTGTCGTCTTCTCTTCTGTAGTCTTCCTCTCCAGCTTGCGGCCTAGCTACTTGCTGAGACCAGGGACTGGCCTGCCACTGCATTTGGGTCGATGGTGTAGGAGCTGAGCAGGAGGGTCCAGGAATCACCTCATCTGGTTCCCCAGCATGGGGAGAAGTCAGGGCTGAGCATCTCCCCAACTGTCTCTCCTCTTTCTTCTGCAGCTCCCCTGAGCTCTTTCTCCCCTCTGGCTGTCCTCCCTCCTCACCTTGGTGTACACTAGTGTGGAAGTCTACTGGAGAAATACAAACAGAGAGATGTACAATGGACATACACTACCGTTCAAAAGTTTGGGGTCACATAGAAATGTCCATGTTTTCGAAAGAAAATCATTTTTTTTGTCCATTAAAATAACATCAAATTGATCAGAAATACAGTGTAGACATTGTTAATGTTGTAAACGGCTATTGTAGCTGGAAACTGCTAATTTGTTATGGAATATCTACATAGGCGTACAGAGGCCCATTATCAGCAACCATCAGTCCTGTGTTCCAATGGCACATTGTGTTTGCTAATCCAAGTTTATCATTTTAAAAGGCTAATTGATCATTAGAAAACCCTTTTGCAATTATGTTAGCACAGCTGAAAACGGTTGTGCTGATTAAAGAAGCAATAAAACTGGCCTTCTTGAGACTAGTTGAGTATCTGGAGCATCAGCAATTGTGGGTTCGATTACAGGCTCAAAATGGCCAGAAACAAATAACTTTCTTCTGAAACTCGTCAGCATATTCTTGTTCTGAGAAATGAAATTGCCAAGAAATTGAAGATCTCGTACAACGCTGTGTACTACTCCCTTCACAGAACAGCGCAAACTGGCTCTAACCAGAATAGAAAGAGGAGTGGGAGGTCCCAGTGCACAACTGAGCAAGAGGACAAATACATTAGAGTGTCTAGTTTGAGAAACAGACGCCTCACATGTCCTCAACTGGTAGCTTCATTAAATAGTACCCGCAAAACACCAGTCTCAATGTCAACAGTGAGGAGGCGACTCCGGGATGCTGACCTTCTAGGCAGAGTTGCAGAGAAAAAGCCATATCTCAGACTGGCCAATACAAATAAAAGATTAAGATGGGCAGTCTGAAATATGGCTTTTGAGACTGGTGTTTTGCGGGTACTATTTAATGAAGCTGCCAGTTGACGACCTGTGAGGCGCCTGTTTATTAAATTATAGTTTTAACCATGTTTTGAGGCTATATGGTGTTTGTACATTACTTTGTTTACAAACATTGGAGTAAAACAAGGTTGCATTTTGGGTTCTGATGGGGTATGACTTATAAATGAATGACTTATAAATGAATGATATGTACACATTGATTATTGAAGAATATAACTTATAAAGAATATATATATATATATATATATATACTGTATATAAAAACACATATATAAACAAATATAAACACTTTATAAACACATATCAATGTCCAAGTCCTGTTTACATTTCACATTCTAGGACTACTTACCAGAGTGTCCTCTCCGCTCAGGACCCTCCCTCTTCTCCTCTTCCAACTCTTCTCCCATTCCTTCATTTGCTTCAATCCCTCTTTCAGTCCCCCTCTTCTCCTGAGGCTCTTCTCCAAAGCCCTCTCCACTTCCTCTATCCCTGCCATGCAGTTTCTCAGCACTTGGTGGTGCTGCCCTCTGTCTCAGTCTAGGTCTCAGTCTCAATGCCTCACCAGGAAACCCCCCATGCCTGGTGTGGCTATGGTCCAGTCCTCTCCCATCATGATGTCCTAGGGGGCTGGCTTTGCTGTGGCTGGACATCCACACCTCCTCACAGCTGGAGTAGTCACTCTCCCCAGCAGGGTGGGAGTCCAGCTGTGAGTCAGCTAGGTGCTGGACAGGCATGGAAATGGCTGGCTGGGGTGAGGGCCTGGGGTGGCCCCACCTGGGGAACTGATGGGGCCTCCTCCACGTGGCCAATGGAGGCAGAGCATTCTGCTCCTGGCCGTAGGTCCTCTTCTCCTTCTCTTTCCCCTCTCTCTCCATGTATAGGCAGTCAGTGCTGCTTGGGGACTGCTGCCTTGAGGAGGCACCATGGTGTGTGGCCAGCTGCAACATCCCCAGGGTTGCATTCTGCTAGAGGTCGAGGTCTCTTCAGGATCTCTGTGCATTTGTCAACTATATGCCACATCTGGAGAAAGCTGGCTACCGTCACGTAGTTGACAATGTCATCACGCACTATGCTCAGTTGGCCGGTGTAGGCTGAACTCAGGACACTTTCAAAGGCCACAGGGTCCATGACAGAGGGCAGAGAAACTGTCGTCACATTCTTCAGCAACACCTGGTGAAAGTGATGAAAAAAATACATTCTAACAAGGATTTCACAGTACATCTATTTTTCCAGACAACAATGTAGAACAGAGGTGCACATGACAGAGCAAAGACACAAACTCCTCCTGTGTAGAGACAGGCAAAGACTGACATGTCTCTCTCTAATACACTCGTCACGGAAACCCAGACCTAGGCAACAGCAGTGACTAGCCTATGTTTGGGATTAATGACGGACTATCTTGGTAACTTTGAAAAGGGGAAAAAAAAGTTCAGCGGAGGGTCCTCTTCAGACAGACATAGGCTAGTCACATAGGCTAACTCCGCCTTTTCCTCTATGCCAAACTGACATTGTTTATGTACAGACGTGTGAGACTACTAATACACACACTTATAAGCACACAGACAAACAAACCTGATCATGAAAGTATGGCGAGGAGGCAGCCAGCACACAGCGGTGGGCCCTGAACACCTGTCCCTGCACCTGGATTGAAAGGTCACAGAGCCGGCCCTCCTCCCGCTGTCGATTCAGGCTGTCCAAAACTGCTGCACGCACACTGGGGAAACATACTTGGACCACCGGGCCAGCAGGAGCACCAGAGACAATGCAGCCCTGATCCATTGAGCCTAATCCAAGGAAGAATAAAATGCTGTTAGCTAGCTAGATCCTTGGGACGTCCCTAAACTCCCTACCCCAAACCATAACGTTAACCCCTACCCTTACCTTTACCATTTAAAATGTCAACTTCAATGGAGAAGGGTGCCATTGCGGCCCGCAATTCGGGGCGTTCCTGCATGTGGGCATTCCTGCATCTGCAGGAACCCCTCTTTATACTTCTATTGGTCCATTTTTAAGCTAGGACAGGCGGGAGGTGGGAGCGCTCCAGTACAGTAGGTTCCCATTGGATGCCAACCGCTTTTAAACCCCACATGCAGGAATGCCCCGCAATCACACACTATTGCTTCAATGGGCGGTAGGGACGTCCCAAGGATCCCATATCGCAAGGACCTAGCAGTTACCTGTGCTTTTTGAAGATATATAGCTAGCAGTCTGACTATGGTGGTGGAGGATAATTTACCCAAGATGTTAATTTGTTCGTTAGCTAGTGCGTTTCATATTCCTAGGTTTAGGATCATCTCCAATTTACTGGCGAATGCAATGCAGTGTGGGCAAAGATTCTTATAACTAACCCAAGATAGACCACAGCCTGTCATTTCCAATGGGAGCAAATGAATCATAGTGGTCAGAACAAGCAAGGAGGTGGGCAGAGCCAAGCATGAGCTAGTGAGATCCTATTGGCGCGTTCTAGCATGTATTCGCATATTTCCGCTAGGGAATGCCTACTTTGTGAAGCACACGTGTGTCATCTTTGTATCTGTACCATTGTAGTGTCTGTGACAGCATGGGAATTTTGAAGTAGTACATTTTCTTCTTAACGATTGGCTGATCCCTCCTGATGACCCGGTTGGACATGACTCCAACAGGGTCACCAGGAGGGATCTGCCAATGAAGTTGGAAGTCCCACCCAGTTGACTACATTAAAATGCCGCTGCCCTTCAATGCCCTTTATTGGGCTCCCGAGTGGCGCAGTGGTCTAAGGCACTGCATCTCAGTGCTTGAGGCGTCACTACAGACCCCCAGGTTCGATTCCAGGCATTATCACAACCGGCCGTGATTGGGAGTCCCATAGGGCGGCGCACAATTGGCCCAGCGTCGTCCGGGTTTGGCCGGTGTAGGCCGTCATTGTAAATAAGAATTTGTTCTTAACTGACTTGCCTAGTTAAATAAAGGTAAACAAATAAAAATAACTTTTAAAAAACAATAAAATGTAAAAATACAATAAAAAAAAAATATGCCACTGCCATGCTAATATGGCCTTTTGGCCACTAGCAGGTAGCTTAGTGGTTAAGAGCATTGTGCCAGTAACCGAAAGGTCGCTGGTTCTAATCCCCAAGCCGACTATGTGAAAAATCTGTCGATGTGCCCTTGAGCAAGGCACTTAACCCTAATTTCTCCTGTAAGTCGCTCTGGATAAGAGCGTCTGCTAAATAAAAAAAAAAAAAATATAAAAAAATTGAGGCATCTATCATTCTCTATGGCGTGTGAAACAACTCAATTCGCCCTTGTACAGTAAACTGCAGTTATTCTGCAATTACTGCGTCCAAAATACCACAGTCGACTGCAGTTTCAAAACTGCAATCTTTTTTTTGTAAGGGGGCGATTAACTTTTTCAAGAGTAGGGCCATTTGAGGTTTTTATTCGGCAGGTGATTAAATACCAATTTTAAAAAACAAAGAAATGTGATATATTTCACCTCAAAGTCATCCTTTTACATTACATTTACATTTTAGTCATTTAGCAGACGCTCTTATCCAGAGCGACTTACAGGAGCAATTAGGGTTAAGTGCCTTGCTCAAGGGCACATCGACAGATTTTTCACCTAGTCGGCTCTGGGATTAGAACCAGCGACCTTTCGGTTACTGGCACAACGCTCTTAACCACTAAGCTACCTGCCGGCCCCACAAATTTGCTAGGTCATTAGAAGCTCAAATTTGTGACAGTCTTTGCGGCCCTATAGCTATCAGAGATGGTCTGTAATTTAGAGAATCTCCAATGCTATAACTTTTACAACAGGCTATGGCAGTGTTTTTTGTAATTGCTGTCCATCCAATTGAAAAGTGCACATTCACTTCCATAACATTTGTTCTAGGCTACCAGCACGCAAGATAAACATGCACAATAATACAGGATACCCTTACAAAATGTAATTGCCATTAAAATGCAGTAAAACTGAAATAATGGTTGTTTAATTAATGATATCTGGATTGCTTGCTGTGTGTGTTGGCTTCTAATGGTAATCTTTTGTAATGTGTTAGCTAACTGCACTGTTTTTTGTGCTGCACATTTTCTTCTGTTCCACTGAATGCCGTTTTGATGTTCTATTATGAATAACTACATTTATTTTCAGAATTTAACAAATAAAACGTAGGCCTATGTATTTTATTTAAATATCCTACTACAATCCACCAGGATTTTATTTATTTAATTATTGTAACTGAATTTGACCCGGAAAATATTACTATTAAATTTTTACTTAAAGCTTTTAAGCAAATAACAATGCATACAGTAATTGTATTTTAATTTCAGTAGCTAAATAAGGAGGTAGGCATATAAATTCCAGCTAAAGCAAATACATCTTTTTTGTTTCACTACCCCGTACAGTAGGTGGCGGCAGTGCACGAAGGTGGTCTGCCATGAAACCTTAAAGAAGAAGAAGCAGAAATTCCAGCTAAAACTTGGATTGAAATATGTGCTTCACGCGCAGGCAGCCAGCTTGAGCGCGTCAACATTCCAATATGATTCCATATGGCAGTTGAGACAGAGCACCCGATAAAGCTACACAACAACGACAGTTTCTGTAAATTTACACACAAAATAAATTTTACATTTACATCCCACCCTGAATGTAAGCCAGGGCGGGATCTGCCAGAGGCGGCTTCCCGCATGCGCGATTCATTTGCAGTCTGGACGCGGAGGGGTGAACATCTCCTGCTCTGACTGCAGCTGGGAGGGACTGCTGCGCAAGGACTGGGCCGCCTGTGAGTGCTTTGGGACGGGGTTGGGGCCCAGGGCAGCACCTGCTGCTCGTTGAGAAGAGTAAGAACGATACGTGCTTTCACGTCAGAGTCTCCAAAAGTCTCCAATAACACCAGAAAAAGTCGCTAGATTTGTCGCTAGTCGCGTTTTTGAAAATGTGTTGCTAGAAGGGTCTGAATACTCGCTAAATACAGCGACAAAGTCGCTAAGTTGGCAACACTGCAGAGATCCTTGTATTTTGTTTTTGAAAATACCATACATTTTGCCTATCCCTGCCCCCCATCAACACACATTCTAAGGTTACACCTCTCAACTGCCTTTTTCAATTCTTGATTCTCTGTTTTTGCAGGAATCTTCTAGCTTGGATGGAAGGATGGCGGGAACAAATGGAAGGAGTACATTAGTTATCCAGCCTGCTGACTAAGAAATGTAAATAGCCTATGCTTTGCTGTCTATCTCGCTCTCCGTCCGTCTGCCTAACTCCCAGATTGCTGAGGAGCAACATAGCCAATGTACTTGCAAGGCTAAGTCTAACTTACTGAAGACCTTACGTAATTGTTAATCATAATTCCTCTGTCTTTACAGTTCCTGAAATATGTCAATGACCTGATGCCTCTACAGCAGTGATTGTCCACCCACTCAGTTACCAGTGTCCTATTCTGCCACATTCCAGGGAGAGAGCAGAACCACCCCTCCTTAAATCCATACTCATTGACAGTAAGGTGTGTGCAAAATATTGATGTTTGATACTCTGATCTTAAATGTATATTGATTCCTACTAACCAGCTTTGTAAAAGGTAGGTTTGTACTAGCTATGCTGATGATCATTAATGTTCAGGTTTCACTGAGACTGGGTTCCCCAAGAGACATGCTATTCAGCTGCCCTTGATTGTCTGATCTTACACTCTTAGAAAAAAAGGTGGTATCTAGAACCTAAAAGGGTTTATCGGCTGTCCCCATAGGAGAACACTTTGAATAACCTTTTTTGGTTTCAGGTAGAACCCTTTTGGGTTCCAGGTAGAACCCGTTCCACAGAGGGTTCTACATGGAAACCAAAAGGGTTATCCTATGAGGACAGCCGAAGAACCCCTTTGGAACACTTTCTTTTTAAAGAGAGTAGTGTAAGTAGATCCAATAGGCTCTATGCACGCATCACTTCTGCATTGGCGTAGGGATGCTTGGGCATTTCCGGTTACCGGAAAAAAACATTAGACAGTGACAGTAGTCCGTTATGATGGCAGAGATGAAGTTTACAAGGTGTTTGCTGGAGTTGCCTAAAGTATCTGTTAATGATATACGGTGGGTCGTCCGGACATCCAGTACGACACCATGTAGCAAACTGGATAAAGGCTTCAAATTTTACGTTTCTTCTTTTCTTTGCAACTTTGAAGGTAATATGCTAACGCTAGCTAGCCTGAGCTAGAAGCCTTGCTTTGGTGTTTTAAGTCATGACTCCGTCCTGCTTCAGGTTAATCATGCTTTAAATAAAAGTTTAATCATGTGTATATACCTCTCACTTCATGTGTTTGTACTTTTATGAAAGTATCAGGTAAAAACAGGGCTACAAATTAGATCTGTGAGAGCCCACTGCTACCGCTCAATGAAGAAACTAAAGCCACCACACCAGCTGAGAGTAGGACTAGATTAAGTGACACGTTCTAAGTTCTGTTGAACTTGTTCAAGGTTCCGTTCAACACATGTTTTACTCGTTTAATGTTACCACAGCTTTGATTGCCATTGCTAAGAGAACACTTTAGAACTTTAGTGGTTTTCACAATAGCTGAACAGTGGTAGCCTAATACAGACCAGGGTAGCTGAGTGGGAATTGCCATGCTTTGTTGTTGGGTCTGTTGTAAACAAATTGGAGTTTGGTTTGAAATGTAAACAATAATGAGATTACTACTTTTTCCTGACTTGATGACTGCAATGACAGTAACATATTCCACTCAGCTATTCTTCAAACTGCTGATGTTCTACTCAAAACTGTCCTGTCATCTTTACTTCTTTCTTTATAAACATATGGC